CACCGGGTACCGGACCTCGCTTGTGGGACAACAATAGTTTCAGATGGATAGTGTATTTCAATTTTCTTAGTCTAGGGTTTTGCCAAGCATTGCTGAGCATTAGTTATCTTCAGTTAGAGGCACACACATTTTGTATTAGAATTAGTTGTTTCATACTTAAAAAAAAAAAAAAGAATATATATTTATTTTTTATTTTCCAGGTTTTAAAGACAAGAGAGTGCACAATACCTCTTTCTCCTTGCTTCATACAGTAAGATTTGCAGAACTGTTTAACAGTTTGAGGCAGTAATATTATGTGCCCTTTACTCATTAATTTATCATAGTGAGAAGAATGCACTTCTCATTTAAGTCGTTATTTAATCACGCACATAAAATAGGGGAAGATGCTTAAATTCATAATATAAGTATTTATAAACTGTTGCTGAACTTGAAGTCACAGAAGCAAGATCGCTGCATGTCTAAGGCAACATAGTTCTTGCAGTATCAATATGGGTAACATTCAAGACAGGAAACAGAAGTAAACACGAACATGGGACGCCCCCTCTCTCTTCTTCCTGTGCTATTAAGGCATCACTGTTCTCAGATAAATATTATGCAATTCAACTGCAAACTGACAGGTTCTAACATATTCCAATAGCTTTGTTATACGAGGCTTGAACTAATTTCATTGTCCCCAAGTCCTTAGTATCCAGTCTCACTCTGACTCTTCTTCCTATTCAGGCTGGGCTGATACCTAAATGCCCCACAACACATCTGCTGACACTCTCCAGTGCTGCAAACTCAATACTGTTTGGCCTCTTCCAGCTTGTTTAACTCTTCCCTTTGTTATAAACAATCCTCCAGAGCAGATTGATTCAAGAACAAAGAAGAAAAGCTAGTCTTAACGGATAAATACTACTACTATTTTTTTTTTTTTTAAGGGAAATTAGCTACTGAAAAAGTGAAAACATGCTATTCTTGCACCAGGGATCTCATATACCCACAAATGCAAAGACTAGCAAAGAAATCCTTTCACTAGATGGGAGACACTCCAACACGCCAGAAATGCACATCTCTGCAAGAAGGCATTAGTTTTAACAGAAAGAAGTCATAGGTAATGTATTTTTGCTTTCAAATAGGTGTTTTTTTCACCTCCTTTTATTCTCAGAAAAGTAACTTCTGATCATTGATCAGTTGTGTGATCTGCAGCAAGTCACAGTCATCCCTTGTGTCCATGGTTTCTCCATTTCCAGATTAATGACTGTATAGTGCAGTTCATAGCACCTTGATGCTCCTTTGCTACTTACCCTCAGTATTTATGTTCTGTAGAATTCTATAATGGAACAAGGACCTCAAAACTTACCAGAAAAAAATGAGATAAAATTTCATATAAATGAAAATTCCTATCTGTCTCACTCATAAATGCTTCTGGGGCAGAAGGGAATGACTAAAATACATAAGGTCATGTTCTGGAGAGTCTTCTTTATTTGATGGCATATAGAGGAAAAAATAGGCAGGAAAAGGGTTATATAAAGCACAGTAGCAGGACTGTTTTATTACAGATTAGGGGAGTCGCAAGAAAATAAATACATACATTTTAAGTATGAGGGAAAACAAGAAATGGGTAGAAAGATGGTTTGTCCAGACAGCACATCCCTTTTCAGGCAGCTGTCCCTTTATCCTTTACTTCTGCTTGTAGCAGTGCTACACATGAGAATAGGGGTCCAGTCAGGAGTATAAATTAGTTCCCTGAAGACCATGAGATTATCCGTAGGGGTTTACCAACTCTTCACACACAGCCAGTCATATCCAGGTCTTAGGGCTTGGTGAAGTTAGAAGTAGTTGTAACATCTACGCTCCTTGCCAAAGACCAAATTATGTCTCTTTACACGCCTTCTTGTCTAATCTGAGCGAGGGATTCTGCTCAGTGTCCAACAGCCCTTCTTTAAAGGGCAAAAGTGTGACAGAGCATAAATCACCTCAAGAAGCTATTTAGCGACACTGTGAATGTTCCACTTCACAACTCTTAGCACACCGTTTAACTAAAGACATTTTATGCCAGTGACTACAGTAGTTTCTAGATGCAAAAAATTAGCCAGAACACTGACAAAGCAAGTTCTTTTCCAGTTTGACCAAGTGCTAGATCTCAATCTTTCTTTGGAATGTTTGTATGGGAGATAAAAGAAAGGTTAGTCTCCTCAACAGCACCAGCGAAACTATGCATCACAACTATTCCAGATGGCCAAGAACTTAATTTGTGCGAGTTTTTTTTCCATTGGAGACAGCTTATTTTTCCTTGCCGTAAGGAACTAACTTACTTTTCCAGTTTACAGGGGCAAGTATTTGGATTTGAAATGAGACATCTGCTACTTGGAGGTTAGAACAGTGACCACAAAGAAGCGCATGTAGTAGACTTCCTGCTCAAGTTTCAGTTTGTGATGGACAGGGTTGCCTAAGGTCAGGGCTATCATGAACTATGTCCGTGTTCCTCTTGGCCAGGAAACACCAATAAAAGAATTACCTATGGAGACAGCCAATGCCTCTAGATATTACGTGTGGGTTTTTGTTCCTTCCTTTCAAATTTGTGCACTGCGGGGCCTAATCTGCTGCTTATTTCAGTGTTATCTGTCTACATTTCTATTTAAAAGTAGTATGAGCACTTCCATGCAACAAGAATGTACATATACACAGGGATGTAGAGGGATACACACCTTAAGAGTTATGCATTTACGTTATAATGTACATGATACATTAATAAGTGACCATTGCTAAGGATGTGCTTATTACTGTGCTGTAGAGTTGCTTAACCTGCAAGTCCACTACTCTCTAATTCTTCGCAGTTTTTAAACTTCAGTGCAGGTTTCCAATGAGATGGTCTGCAAAATTATTATACAGGGAAAGAAAAAAAAAGAAAAAAAAAAAGATGTGTATTTTAGTTCATAAAAACACGTGCTATATTATACATCAGCTCCAGTGGGAATCTTCCCAAACTGGGTAAGATCCCAGTGTTCTACATAATCAGAAAGAAATATTGCCACCGTCAAACACAACGAGTTTAAAGGGAGAAACAGAAAAACAGAAAGAGAAACATCCAAGAAGACAAAGAGCTCAAAATACAACTCAGGCTACCTTAGATCCAGTCCACTGCATTACATAAGTTCCGTACTGTAGCATATAAACCATTGGTAAACATCACAAAAGTAACTCTGAATTTTATGTTGCCTTTGATTCTAGCAGCTTGACTGGGCACTTACAGGATTATAGAGGTTTTTAATTTTGCTTGCATGTTCCTTAGCAAGGAGAGGAAGTGAAGATGACATTGAAAGGCAAGGTTGGAGGTCAGTCTTGCAGATTTCTAAGGCTAGGTGGCCAAGTGTTCTATAACCATAGGGTCATTAAACCAGATACTACTGGAAAACTGGTATCTTTAACAATTAATTACTGATGGTTAGCGTTGGATGCGGTTATGGAACACAGTGAATTAGTCTCAACGTAGGTTTTGGCCAGTAGGTATAATCTACTGGTGGCAGAGACATTCGAGTGTTCTGGCACTCAGAAGACAGCCACCTTTTTCCTGCCTGTATTTCTTGAAACATTTATA